TGGATATTCAGATATCATGAAATCTTATTCATGATTGATACCTGTCAAGCAAACACCATGTATGGTCAAATATATTCACCGAACATATTGGCTACTGGTAGCAGTGAACTTGGCGAAAATTCCTATTCGGTACAAATAGATTGTTCTCTATGGGTAATCATCATTAATTGGATTTTATGATTTAACTTTTTTTGTCATCAAACACAGCATCACATGGACTCCGACATTGGAGTTGCGGTGATCGATCGGTATACTTATTATAACCTAGAATTCTTGGAAAAAATTGATATGCAGAGTAAATCGACATTGCAAGACCTTTTTAATTCTTATGATCCAATGTTAATACATTCGACTCCGGGAGTTCGTAGCGATCTTTTTCGAAGGCCTTTAGATAAGGTTTTGTCATTATAGATGAAGTCTTGAATTTCACTTATTTGTAGTATTATCTCACCGATTTACGAATTGCCTCATAGGTACTTGTGACCGATTTTTTTGGTAGCGTGCAGAACGTCGAACTTACAGGACAAAAGTACAATCTCTCAAACTCTGACACAATACCTTCGTCGACATTCAACGAGGTAACCGTGGATTATCATTGAATTTTTGTTTATCTCACCCGTATCTCACATTCAATATCTTTTGTAAGACGAGGATTGGAGAAAACGGGGAAAACAAAAAGCCGACGTCAAGAAATTTTCATCTCGTTAATGTCAATTCACGATCAACAACATCTCCGTTACCGCAATTTTTAATTGTCAGCACATTGTTCGGATTGCTAATCAGATGGGTATCCAGGATAATATGAATACATGAGTTTCCTTGTATTATATTTATTTATTGGTTGGCGGCTGTTTTGCGCGCGGATTAGCAAAATTTAATGGTGAATCTCACCACGCCGGCCGCGTATGCGTTATGAGCCACGGGTTCGGCTCATAGAAATCTTAATACGAAGAGGAATGAATATGCTCACCAATGTTATCGTCAAAATATATATCATATATATACATATATATATTCTTAAAAAACGTAGATATCAACTTTTTTGAATTCGAACAATGAACAACTCATCAGGAGTTATTTGACATTTATTAATATTTGAGAACAAATTTTAGAAATAAATTAGCAATCTTATGGTGAGGTGAAATATCGGTCACCTAGAAATTTGTTGGGGTTGAAAAGGTAAATGAATGTAGGTTTCATATGTCCAACACAAATAACACTTACCAAAGTCCCCTAATCCGGGTACAATGTACTTCTTTTCGTTCAACGCTTGATCTACAAACGCCGTCACAATTTTGAGTTTGGAAAATTTCGAAGTAACCGCATTGATACCCTCAGGAGCAGCAAGTAAATTCAAGAACAAAATTTTATCTTCTGGGACATCATTTTCAAGCAGCACCTCAATAGCTTTAATGGCTGAACCTCCGGTTGCTGTCATGACAACAAGGTGAATGTTAATTAAAAACTTTGGAGAATCAAAAAGAACATTGGCAAGGACCATAGATATGATAGTTATTACCAAGCATTGGATCCAGCAACAAGACATATCGATCTTTTATATCCGGAGGCAACTTGGCATAGTAGAGCTTTTGGAAAAGTTAATATATTACCTATTTCTATTTATAGTAATATTGTTTCTGCTTACTTTGGGCTGTGCAGTTTCTTCGTCACGTTGTATCAATATTTTTCCGATTCTTACGCTCCTAATTAAGGAATATGACGTAAACCGAGGTACAGTAAATTGTTTCTGGTAATATGAAATAAAACAAACCTGCAACATTCACGCAGTCCTTGTTCCATGGCCTCGCCGGCTCGCATAATTGATACACCGCATATCTTCCCTTTAAACTGAACGCCTTTGAATTCGTTACCTGTCGGGGTCACAATGGTCTTTTCCACAACTGGTAAATGGTTCAGACCTAATTTAAGAGTGGGTCGATAGCAAAATGCACACATTCGTTAAGAGCATGGTGAGCATCATAAATAGGCACTAGAATAAATCTTCAATGTTCAACCTTCTTCAACGAGAAGCCTAATAACTCTGTCAGAGTAAAAAATGAAGTCTCCACGAGTTGTATTTTTATCTCGTATCATGGTCAGCAAGGCATCAATTTGGTTTGTCCGCGGAAGACAAATCACATTTGCTGGAAGGGGGAACTACGAACGAACACATAAAAAAAAATTTTTTTTTTTTTATTTTTTTTTTATTGTTATTTTTTTATTTTATTTACGAATAAATTAGAATTTGGCTAAATACCATGATTAATTCAAAGTGAGAGGAGTGTCTGAATGAATAATTTAGACTCTGCAACCGCATTTTTAGATATGCGATATCACGTGAATGTATGACAAATCCAAAAATAATTTATATAGACTGGTTTGACAGATTGATGCACTACAATTCACACTTGAAATGATCAAGTCTGTCCTTATCTTCAATAACCATGGGAAGGCCAGAATCACAAAATTTTATCAGCAAATTGTAAGAATTTTGAACTTGGTCATTTTGGGATTAGTTCGCCAAGTAATTTCCATCATTTCCAACACATAATCTTAGGACATTGGTACGCAGCAAGCGTTAGTTCACGAGATATACGCCTTGGTTTCAAAGCGTCCAGATACGGTATGCAATTTTCTCGAGGGAAGTCAGATGCTTGGCGGAAAGGATACTCGAATTATTTATCGACACTATGCGACCCTATACTTTGTTTTTGTTGTCGACGAATGCGAAAGTGAGTTAGGCATACTGGACTTGATTCAGGTTCTTAATCTAAAGATTTTTCACCGGGAAGTCGTAACAAGGGTTCTTTCTTGGAGAGACGAATTCTTAGCTTGACCTGTTTCTTCATTCCAGGTTTTTGTGGAAAGCTTGGATAGATGCTTTGAAAATGTGTGCGAACTCGACTTGGTGAGATGGAAATGTTCACGTTGACATGATGCAGTAGTATTCTCACCGAGACAGACACTCATATCAATTCTTTTTCTCTCAAATTTTTGGATATCAAGATTTTTCACTTCGAAGAGGTACCCACCGTTGAACCCATAGTACGGCTTTGCTTACATTATCCTATTAAGTGTTTCGAATATATTTTCTAGGTTCATCACATTCTCACCGAAGTTGTCATGGGAGGAATGGTTGGTTGATCGATCGATTTTGTTTGCGTGTACAGATAGATGCTAGTCATTCTGGAAAGTTCCGGTCAAGTTCCTTGATTTCTCGGTGACCTCTGGGATCTCCGACTTTACCGGAACTTTCTAGCTCGATTAACATCCCCAACTACACACAACTATAAGAAATACCGCATTATATAACAAAAAACAACATCCAACAGGTTTTGGAGACAAACATATCGGAAATAGTTTCTGCATATGGAGAGACGAGCAAACACAAGAAAAGAACAGGAACAATGGCTACGATTGCCGGAAGCGGAGCTGGCGTTGCCAGAGATTTAGGTGCCAATCTGGCAAGCACAGTTACAACCACTTTGCAAACCACATTACAAAGTGCAACATTCCCTACATTTCGAAGGAATTCGGGTTTCAATTCGTAGTACATCTTTTCCGAGAGGAGGACGGATGATACACACATTGTTAGTAACATTTGTGAAAGGTAAGGTTTATTCATGTTTTTCCAAGCTGAATTATTTCTCAGACCTACCGTCTCATACATTCGTCTGCACGATAAAGATCTGTTGAAAAAAATATACAGCATATATACAGCATAACATAAATTTGTCAAAGTCACGTTCACATATATATATATATATATAGATTACCATAATTGGTGTGTTATCATTAATAAAATCATATGCAAATTCTCCGATTTTCAATGATCATGTGACAAATAATTAAACAAGAAATTCGTGATACACTATTTACTCGTAGGATCATGTCGCGTAAACTGAATTTTGGTCTTTTTAAAGTATTTATCCTGGACGAGTTGTGCAACACGGTTTTGATAAAAATCGCGCTATTAAATAACAACTGTTTTCGTCTGACGAGATGACTACGGAAAGGCTCATCAACGATTACCAGATCAGTGACGATTGGCTTTTGAATGAACAAAGAAAATTCGAATATTTTTGCAACGAGAACCTTCAAGAATTTACTGCGACTTGTCTGTTAGAAGTTGAATGGCTAAAAAGTTACTTGACAGATGTCATACTTCATTCGAGTGCAATTCCTCGGAACCAATCACCGGAGTGTACCAACCAGGATCAACGGCATGATGCACAACACGGAATACTCGGGAATCGTAAACACAGCGCGAATCCAGAAGCCTTCCCCAATAACAATATCTTGCATTCAAACGGGTTCATGATTTCTGATGCACATTATGATAACGAACAGGATAAGGGAAAATACAAAGACCCAGATGTTAATAACACGGCTAGAGAACATGAAAGTAAAAAGTTGGAGCGCAAGAAAACTCTAAATAATTCAAATTTCATCAGGACCGGGCAATATACTGAACCGTACAGCCTTGCTTCTCGAGACAGCAATGCTGCTTCCCGGGATTGTATCAAAACTTCTAATGATAATCCGAATAAAAAGACATTTCCGAAACGATTAGCGCAATCAAAACCTGAGATAAAATCTCTCGTGTTAGCGGCTGCTGCGGCAAAAAAGGTAAGCTGACTTAATGTATGGATATCGTTTTCAAGATGACGATATGTAACCTATCAATGTTAGGAGCAGGAAGAACAAGAAAAAAAATCAGAAAGAATAAAGGAATGGGAAGCCAAACGTTTGGCTGCTTTACAACGAAGGCAGGAAGAAGAACAAAAGCGATTGCAAAATGCTAAACAGCGCGAAGAAGCATGGAAAAGAAAAGCAAACTTCGTTCCGGAAGTGAAAAAAAAGGTGATTCCTGATATTCAATGATTATTTCATTTATTTTGCAGTGATGTTATTATTTATTTATTTATTTTATTGTCAAAGGAGAATGAAGGGTCGAGAAAAAAACGAGTGGAGAAATTTGTTGTACAAAAAAAGAAGAAAGATATTGACATGCAGCAAAAAAATGACGTGTCATTTGAAAAAACATTACCTCATTCTGAATTCAAGGAACATCTGTTATTTAAAAAATCACCTCTAAGAAGCTCCGATTTTTTATTTAATAAAAAGAACGATCTACCAGAATCGAATTGGAACACGAGAACGAATGATGAGAGTCTGCACATGTGCCAAGCTGAGCCTTCAAGTCTATTGTTTGCAGACACAGATACACGCATGAGCGGAGACGAGATTGGCATCATATTAACAGACAATGATAACGAAATTTTAAAATCTGCTAGAAAGACAAAAACTTCGCATTCGCATTCGCATTCGCAGGAAGAGATGAACAAGTATCAATACAAAGAGGAAAGTTTTTTAGGACATTTTGATATGCAGGTGGATTTAACGGAGACAAGCGGCGAGTAAGTTTGCGAATATCTTAACTATTCATTAATTAAATTCGCAATACTTTAATTAATCGTATCCAAAGAAGTTCAAGCAGCGAAGAGGAAGTGAATAATCCGAAACGTCCAGAATGGTGTCAACCTTCGAATCTTAAGGCGGCTTTAATACGTCAGGCTTCGATTGATCCCGAGATCATTTTTGGAAAGGTTCAACCATTGAATATGGAGAGTATGTGAGGTTTCTCATTACCATGATACATTGCGACTTTGTACTAATGGAGGTGACTAAATATCCCAATTTAGAAATTTTCAAAGGACGTGAACGTAAATTCCGTCAGCGTTCCAGTTCAGCGAATTGGCTCGGTGGAGACGCTTTGACCGTTCAAGAAGAAATAGAATACAAATCCCGCATGGGATTCAAATGACGGATCACCACATAAATTTTTTTTTTTTTTGTTTTTGAATTTTAATTTATCCGGAAAACAACCGCCGTAGGCTCGCGCTTATAAAACATCTTCAGCTTATTGTGTAGAAATAAACTAATTATTAACAAATTCTTCGGGATACCTTCCGTTTCTGCTGTCGAACAATAATAAAATCACTTGCTTGCGAAAATAATTGTAGGATAAACTTTTATTTTGAGAATCGGATCCCAAGAAAATATAATACAAAAAACATCAGGGCAACGTGAGATACTTTCGAATCTTCAGGAAAGTGGCAGTCGAGAATCCAATAAACAGAATTTTTCGCGAATAAAGATTAATAATATGTTGTGTAAGGAGAGTCATGGTAAGAAAAAAAAAACACAATTATTACTTTAAGATTACTAATAAGAGTCGCGTGTATACCGCAGCGTAATCAAGGCTGTGTTTTTTTTTTTCTTTAAGGTGTCGTCAGCTTCTTTCTGGAAGTTGAAAGTTGATAATCTGTGGCAAATAAGCACAAGCCGATAAATCTAAAACATAAACGTCATCAAAGACAGTGTGACCATCGTATCCACCAAATACGAAAAGTCGTGAATCATATAAGACCGTTGTGTGGTAGCCTCTACCTGATGGTGGAGTGCCGTAAACTTTACGAGTTTCCCACTCCATTGTGACTAAATGTTAAAGTCACGTGAATTATGGGTATTAAAAAAAATGTTCGTGCAAGAATAAATAATGCTATTATTCAAGACATACCTAAGTTCAGTAACTGAACTTCGGAGGTGTATTTCCCTCCGTCATGTCCACAAACTACAAACAAATAAGAGCCCACTTGAGTTGCTGTGTGCGAAAGCCGTTTATGGGAGTTAGCGACATCTATTTGAGTCCAAGTGCTTTTTTCTGAAAGAATATAATAAGTCTTAGACTACGTATATCTTGAGACTTCAAAAATCAATCATTATACTTTGGATTGGTATTTACCAAGATCTAATACGTGGACGTCACTAAAACATTCGTGACCGTCACTCCCCCCATATACGACTAGTTTGTTTCCAACGAGGTTGCTGGTGTGATAACCCCGAGATATTGGAGGGCGCCCTTTTAATTCTAGTTTTTTCCATTCTAAATTGTTTAAGTCTGATATCTTTAAAACATGCACATCGTTAAGTGCGCGGGCACCATCACCGCCACCAAAGACATAAATACATTCATTATAATATGCGGCAGTATGCGCTCTGCGGGGAGAAGGGACACTTCCAGAAGTCGAAGGTTTAGTCCATGTCAACGTGTCTAAGTTTTTTGAAAGTAAACATGTCAATTCTGCGTCCTCGAAAATACATTGAACAACAGAATACGTTATGATCATAATCACTTGCCTGTATCAAAGATATACAAATCATTAAAATAAACGGGTCCATCACCGCCCCCAAAAACAAACAATTTTTTATCCACAAGAGTGGACGAATGAGCACGACATGGCTTCGGTGGTTCTCCAAGAGTTCTCGGCTTATTCCAGTACATGGTGTCTTAAATTGAATAAATGTTCAAATATTAGATAGAAATATCTTACTAAATGAAAGCTAAAGGCAAATTTTCGGTATTAATATATATACCCACCCGCGTCAAATACGTATACCGTATTAAAGCAAGTCCGTGCATCACATCCTCCAAACACGTACATTGACTCTCCTACTAGATTTACGGTATGTGCTCTGAGCGTCTTGGGCGCCTTGCCGAAGGTCTTAACCTTTGACCAATACATAGATGGAGCTGGCGCATGAGGGACCGGAGGCGCTGTGGGTATGTTAGGTTCTTGATGATTTCTTCTACCCTCTCCTCGATGACCATGACTGTTGTGTCGCCGCGTTATTATCGCAGATTGACCGTCAATAGGACGTTGGTTAGCTATTGGCTGCGTAGCTACAATTCGATTCGATGCTCGACCAGGAGACGAAGGACCAGTGGGTGTGAATGCATTGGTTTGAGGAGAGGTTACTTGAAAATAATGTGAAGAATTGTTATTATAAGATGAAGTGGTATTATTAGAAACGGCTGTCATTGATTGTAAATGAAGATCTGGTCTGTTGGAAGTTCGTGTTAAGGAGACGAGTGTAGCATGTTGGGCAGAGCTTTGATTATGAGGTGATAGTGGCCGTGCTGGTGTTGGGTCTGAATTTTCTGGGCCATTATTATCTCCAGGAGTTGGCGGAAGAGTTGGTGATTCGTCTGGAAACGCTGGGTTAGTTGTATCAGTAGGACTGTCCTCTTCGTCATGCGCATCTATCGGCGGTTGTAACCGTTCCGTTTCTATCATTGTTGCTGTGGACGATGATGATGCAGACATGGAAGAAAAGAAAGATGACTGTCCGTTGAGGAAGGTTCTGACAGTGCGTTTATAATAATGTTGGGTATTTAATGCGGAAGGGTAGTTTGTGGGTGATTGCTCATTGGCTTCGAAGTTTGAACCACTCGTCCAAAGGAGTTTAGCGTGAAAAAAACTTACGCTCCTAACAAAATATCAGTAACGTCATGTTATTGTGTGTAACTATCGTACTGTTGAGCGGTTTATTTCGAACCTACTAAACGTGTCCGACCAACGGTTCGAGTAAACAAATACTGTTTATGTGAATTTGCGTTCGAATGATCATTTGCTTCGAATGACAATAATTACATAAATAACGCATTAAACCCGTTCTTTATCCATTCAAAAAATGCGTGTATTAAAATAACCGGTTCGGTTTCCGAACTGACCGAACCGGTTCTAACTGGCAGAAATTACCGGGTGCTAAAACATATAAGGTTTTTTATTGACACTCTAAATTCAAATAAGCAAAAATATAAATAAAATAAAAATTTATATACGTATATGCTTTATTTAAAAACTTTAAATAATTTTTTTTTAATTGGCTAAGGGCATTAAATGCAAGGTTTTTATTAATATTATATATGTGTATATTTTTTTTCATTACATCAAATATCTTCTATAAACTAAACTATTTCTAATATAAATATAGTTTAATACTATCTAATAATTATCATTTCCAATAGTACTGGTTTCTTCTAGACCAACCTGATTATCTTGGTCAATTAGCTTGTATCATGTAAATGGATTTATCTTTAGGTGAGATTTATACAAGATAAAGAAAATCCTATTACTAATTTAAACCTATTATTCTATTAATTTAATTATATTTTTTAGCTGTTTGCTAGGAAAAGATTATATGAAATATTATTATAGAAACTAATTCTAATATTTTAATTACTGTTATTACTAATCCTTAAAATATGTCACTAATATAACATTGCATAACTATTTTCACCACCTATGAAATTAATATTCTTGCTTGGATTCTAATTTAATTTTGACAATTTTATTAGGTTTATTTGGTTTTAATGATTTTTATCTAAATTGTTATTATTTGTAGCAGATAACTTTTGCCCTTTCAGTTTAATTTAAGTTTTAGAAAACATTAACTTTAGAATAGAGCATCAAGCTTCAATATAAAATAAATCAATTTAAAGTTATCTTTTTTATTTAAAAATATATAAAGTCTATTATATCAAAAAGAAATATGGACTTTTATGAAAATTAAACCAAAAATATTTTTTTATATAACTTTTCTTACTTTAATTTGTTTTTAATCCATGATTATTAAGAAGACCAGAGATCCCATTTTCATATAACCTAACTAAATTTGAAAATTGATTTTTAGTTAATTAGATATAATATAAATTGAAAATCCATTAATCAATCATAAAAGTAATAAATTTTTATAATTAAATAAGTTTGAATTATAAACATTTTCCTAATAATCTATGGAGCATTAACATTATACTATAGACTTATAGATCTTTTATCTTAAAAAAAATTATTTTTTTTAGAGGATTTCTTCAGTAGATAAATATCATTTCTTTATTTCGATTTATATATAACAAAGTATATATTGTTAAAAGAAACAACATCTTTTTTATTATTTCAGGAAAGTTAAATGCTAGCTTGCTTACTTATCTATATCTAACTAATATTATAAAAAAATTCAAAATTAATATTAATGTGCTAAATAAGGCTGAGTAGTAGCTATGCCTATCATTCCAAGAAATTTTACAAATTCTTTTGTTTTTTTGAATATATGACAATTGAAAAGAAAATAAATATATTTATAACTAAAACTGTATCAAATAAACTATAAAATCTATAAGTAGAAAACCAATTATTTTCTTAAGAAAGCCTTTAGACAAGCTCATGGTTCTATCTCTCCAGCTTTTTGGTTACTATAGATAATAAAGTATATGTGAAGTTGTTTGTGGGTTAGTTATTGTTGTTATGATTATTATTGTGGTATAAAACTGATTTGAGCTTGTTTGGATTTTGTTTTGATCTTTAAGCGAAACCTAATTAAATGATTGAAGGACACTAATTATCTGAAGGGATAAACTGATTTCAGTTTTTTGTGTAAAAAATTTTTGGAGATTGAAAGTGGCACAGCAGATATTGTTATGAAGATATTATATATGAGGATTGACTTGAAACAAACAATAGACCTATTAACTCTATTTGAGTACATATTTTGAAAAATATTTGATTTAGTGAATATGATGATAATAATATGTATAGTTTTTATAATAAGATAAGGGTAAGAAGAAATACAAGAAAATTAAAGAAAAGAGAACTGCCATAGGTCTTTTCTCATGCAACCGAAGGATAAGCAAGACTCCTAAACTTGAATAGACTTTGATCAGAGGTTCTATCCTACTGCATCAGTTGTTTTGAAGATTCTTGAGTTCCTGAGCTAAAGCTTACTTGCAATAAAGAGAGTAAAACATTTTTTCTTACTTAAAATTATTATAAAAGGAAAATTTTTAACAAAACGAATATGATCAGAAAAATGTTTTTTTTTTTTTATCGTAAAATTTTTTTTTTTTTTTTGAAGGAGCAATTGGCTATCGCGCTATCATTTATTATTATAATTTTAGACTTGCGGGTTACA